ATCAGGAAATGTTGCAGAGCTATGATCTTGCTGGGATCATGGAGATGTGGTGGGATGACTCGCATGACTGGAGTGCTGCAATGAAGGGATACAGGCTCTTCAGGAAAGACAGGCCAGGAAGACAAGGGGAGGTGGTGGAGTTGCCATTTGTGTGAGAGCACAGCTGGAACGCATGGAGGTCTGCCTTGGGATGGACAATGAGCCAACTGAGTGCTTATGGGTAAGGACTAAAGAGATGATAGGTATGGGTGACATTATAGTGGGTGTCAGCTATAGGCCACCTGACCAGGAAGAAGAAGTGGATGAGGCCCTCTACAGACAGCCAGAAGCAGCTTCATGTCCACAGGCCCTGATCCTCAATATCTATTGGAGGGACAACACAGCAGGACGTAAGTAATTCCAAAGGTTCCTGAAGAGCATCGATGACAACCTCCTGACCCAAGTGACAGAGGAGCCAATGAGGAGAGGTGCTCTGCTGGACCTCATACCACCACCAAGGGGCTTGTTGGGGATGTGAACATCAAAGGCAACCTTGGTTGCCATGACCATGAGATATTGGAGTTCAGGATCCTGAAAAAGAGAAAAGCTAAAAGTCCACCTGGAATCAAATCAGGCCGGAGATTTCAACGGCAACAAGAAGGGCTTCTATAAGTACACAGGTGAGAAAAGGAAGGCTAGGAAAAATGTCAGCCTAGTGCTGAGTGGGGCAATGTTATGGGTTTGTGTGGCATGGGGGGTGGCCGCAGGGCCGGCTCCTGTGAGAAGCTGCTGGAAGCTTCCCCGGCTCCAAGTCGGACCCGCCACTGGCCCAGGCCAAGCCCATCAGTGATGGTGGTAGCACCTCTGGGAGAACAGATTTAAGAAGGGGAACCTGCAGTGAGTGGAATGTGAGAGGAACCCCTCTGCAGGTACTGAGGTCCGTGAGGAAGAAGGAGGGGGAGGAGGTGCGCCGGAGGAGGGGATGCCCCTGCAGCCCGTGGTGAGGCGGCAGGCTGTCCCCCCCAGCCCATGGAGGGGAGCGGGGGAGTGGAGGCCCCCCCAGATGGCCGTGACTCCCTGGGAAAGCCCGTGCTGGAGCAGTCTGTGCCTGAAGATCGGCCCATGGAAGGGACACATGCCAGGGAAGTTCGGGAAGAGCTGAAGCCCATGGAAATAACTCATGTTGGAGAGGTTCGTGGAAGACTGTCTCCTGTGGGAAGGACTCCCTGGTGGAGCAGGGAACGAGTGCAGAGTCCTCTCCCCCCGATGAGGAAGGAGTGGCAGAGACCAGGTGTGGGGAGCTGACCCCAACCCCCATCCCCTGTTCCCCTGCACCGCCGGGAGGAGGAGGTGGAGAGAACCAGGAGTGGGGTTGAGGGCTGGGGGGAAGGTGTTCTAAGGTTTGGGTTTCCTTCTCAGTGTCCTTGTTTTGTTTTGATTGGTAGCAAGTGAAATTGATTTTGTTTCTTCCCCAAGTTGAGCCTGTCTTTTGCCCGTGACCATCAGTGGTGAGTGATCCCTCCCAGCCCTTATCTCGACCCACGAGCCTGCCTTTATATTTCTCCTCATCCCACCGTGGCTGGGCGCAGGGGGGAGTAAGTGAGTGGCTGCATGGTGCTTTGTTACCATCTGGGCTTTAACCACAACAGGCAGAGGCACTGGTGACACAGGACATGGAAAAGGCTGCCTTCTTTACCTTTGTCTTTACTAGCAAGACTGGCCTTCAGGAATCCCAGGCCCAGGGGGAAAGGCTGGAACAAGGAAGATGTGTCCTTGGTTGAAGAGGATCAGGTCAGGGAATACTTAAGCAAACTAGACACACCTAAGTCCATGGACCTTGATGGGATACACCCACAAGTGCGGGGGGAGTTGGCAGATACATTATGAGGCCACTCTCAATAATCTTTGAATACCCATGGCAATTGGGAGAAGTGCCCGAAGATCAGAGGAAAACAAACATCACCCCTATCTTCAAGAATGGCAAAGAGGAGGACCTAGGGAACTACAGTATGGTCAACCTCACCTTGACGAGGTGATGGAGCAACAGATCCTGGAAATGATTTCCAGGCACGTGAAAATCATCAGGAGTAGTCAGCATGGATTCACTGAGGGAAGTCATTTTTGACCAACCAGATAAACTTCTATGATGAAATAAATAACCAGCTTGGTAGGTGAGGGGAGAGCAGCGGATATAGTCTACCTTGACTTCAAGGATGTCTTGGATGGACAGTGAGGTGGATTGCGAACTGGCTGAGCAGCTGGTCCCAGAGTGGTGATCAGTGGCACAATGTCTAGTTAGAAGCCACTAATTAGCAGTGTATCCCAGGGGTCAATACTGGGTTCAATCTTGTTCAAGATCCTGGAGCATCTCCCGTACCTGATGCTGGGACTGGAGCTTCTTTTATATGAGGAAAGGCTGAGAGAGCTGGGACTGCTCAGTCTGGAGAAGAGAAGGCTCAGGTTGGTAATCTTATCAATGTATACAAATACCCAAAGGGAAGGTGTAAAGATGGAGCCAGAATCTTTCCAGTGGTTCCCAGGACCAGAGGCAATGGGCACAACCTGAAACACATGCGGTTCCCTCCAAACATCTGGAAACACTTTTTCAGTGTGAGAGTGACTGAGCACCGGCACAGGTTGCCCAGGGAGGCTGTGGAGTCTCTATCTTTGGAGATACTCAAAAGCCATCTGGACATGGGCCTGGGTAACTGGCTGTAGGCAAACATGCTTGCACTGGGGGGTTGGACCAGATGACCTCCAGAGGGTCCCTTCCAACCTCAACCATTATGCAATTCTGTGATATGTTGAAATTTGCTTAAAATAGGAAAGACACTCCACTGTATTTCCCCTCTTTTTATTATTCTGATTTCTTCCAAAAATAGCATAATGTACTTTCAAATGAAATTTGATACAAGAAATCTAACAAAACTATCTTTGACGCACACAAATTTCAGTGAAACACTTCAGCACTTCTAAAGTGTCAGCATTTTTCAGCTAGTTTCATGAGTACTAATTGTAACAAAGAGTCTTGTTTTCTTAATTTCAGCAGCAGAACTGACTGTGATTCTACTGCTTTGGTGAAGGTTATAGGTGTTCTTCTATACAATAAACTAACAAAAAAAATAAAATCAGGAGTCATGGAGGAAAAAGCATGACTTAATTACAGGGGGAAGGCAAACCAACTACAAACTCAAGTAATTTGAACACTTAACTCTGTACCAGAAATAATCTTTCCCAGGTTTATTTTAACTTTTCAAAACACTCATGTACCATCAACACTTCATCATTTCACCTCTATGTAAACTATACTAGCCCACAGCAGCAAACAGCTACTGTTAGCCCAAGATGGGAGAGAAAACACATGAAGTGCCCACACCCTCTCAGTAGTGCATGGCTACAAGCATGTGGAAAGCGGAGCAAACACAATGTCAGAAATCCCTAAGCCAGCTCTAAGAGACTGACGGGCAGTTAAGATGGTAGTTACGCACAGTTCTGCTTATTAATATCATTAGATTACATTTCCAACCAAAATATTTCGCTCTAATTTGGGGATTGTTATCCACATGCACAGGGGGTATACACACATACACAGCCCTCCCTCCCAGAGTGAATTTCTAGTATCCTCAAATGTTATACAGGCTCCCCTTTTGGTTCACAATCCAGTATGTGACCATGTTCCTAACGCCTGGAGGACTGCAATGAGGTCCCCATCACCACCAACAGCTCATCCTTCTGCCAAGCTCATTTGGAATTTTATGAAACAAGTAAGAAATACATCCTAAGATCTGTCTAGTAAGCTTCAGGAGACATTAAAACCACCAAAAAGTCAGGAGAGTCTTTAAATACAATATAAAATGTTCAGTAATCTAAGTTCAGCAGCTGTTTTTTGATTACCACAGTCATATCTGGAAAAATGATGTAGAGATTTAAAACTTTAGAAATTCAGTTCGTTCCGAGTAGTTTTGTACAGAACCAACTCATTTAATCTTGAAAGCACCATGAAGTGACACTACATATCAGCAAGCACAAAAAACAAGAACATCATGGGACTTTACCATGTAAACTACACCTTGAATACCACTAAGGTAGATTTACACTGCAGACTTGAGCACTGCACATAAGTATTCAAACTGACTCAGGTATGATTTGCCACTTAGTGCATGCAATGTAGACATACCCTATATGTCTGAACGTATCTCATTATGAATTAACTGAGCTGTGCAGTACAATATTTAGGCCCTCATTCTGCACCATCAAAGTCAACAGTCAATTTTCCATCAATTTCAGAAAGTGCAGGGTCAGGCTTGAAATCACAAACATACTTCTACTAACAAAACATTTGTTTCTAACATAAAGTTGTGTCAAGTTCAAACATGAGTTTTGAGAGCATGCAGATTGCTTACAAATGCTTAAAAAGACTGGTTCAGAATCTTTCTTATATATACACACACAGTCCATCTGTCACAGACAGGCAATGTAACTCAGAATCATGAGCTTGCTCTAGTTTTTGGTAGTGTCCTGCACACTTCTGATAATTAAAAAATAAAAAATAAAAAAATAGTTGCCACAATGGATTTCTGACCATTCCAACTTGCATGTGGATACGATCTCTTCTTGCTGCATCCAGTACGTGAAGTTTCACAGTTGCTTCTCAAAAGCAAATACCAAGTAAATACCTAAAAAAGAAAATGGGAGTATTTAAAGTTTCAGCTTCCTCTGCAACTCAATTAAGTTTTCAAAATGTAAACAGCTTGATACTCTGCCCAAACAACCTGTTAGCAGATTACTGAAATTATAAAAAATGCTCTAGTTTCCCAATGAGTAACTCTAGTATTCAATTCCAACATGGTTTTAGACATGTTTTCACAATAGAGCTAAGAATGCAAAAAACCAAATATTTTAAATCCTGCTGATATGGTTAATGCAACACTAACTTCAGTTAACGATATTACTGAAATGTGAATGGAATTCATAAATTACTATGGTATTCTACACATAATTAACATTCACTGGTACATAAAGTCATATGCAACTAAGTCTAAAGACTCCTTCATACATGCAGTAATGGACAATTAGGAGTAAAATTATCAACTTCATTTTTAATAAAAAAGTGAATAAACTCATGGTACAACATTATTAACTTTGCTCTTTTAAATTATCACTGACAAAGAAGAAATATTTACAAACACTAGATGGCATTTTCTCAACTCCAGAACAGTGTGATTCTAGAAATGGATACTCATACAGTCCACACTGGCACCCCTGGGAAACTTTTGCTTGGCATATAATCAATGCCAGCTATGTCAGGTGTTCTTATGCTTCATACCAGACAGATAAATTAAACCAGTTTCTTGAGACCATGAGTCTAATTAAACATGTATGGATTTCCACTTGAACTCAACTTTTATTTTAATGGATGAGGTGCCATAGCTACATTGCAAATCTTTCAAGACAAGCCTATCGTACATTCCTCAGCAATAAGGGAAAGTGAAGTTCCATGTAACAAACAAGCTGTGCTTATACCCTATCAGAAGCTCTGTACTCCAAATCTCTCTGTAAAAAGAGACTACTTAAAAAAACAGTCATCACTGAACTTTTAAAGGTATAAAAAGCCCCTCTCAATTAGATTAATAGTTTACATAATACTTATACCTTGCTGGAATTAATGTCTACTTTATGATTCATACCTTTAAAAATTAGATAATAATTTAAGAAAGCAAACAGCTTAACTAAAGATTTTTTCATTCATTAATTGAACGGCATTTTTCGTTTGTTTTTAAACCACTAACACAATCAGTATAATGGTCTCCAAAAATGCAAATGTTGGTTGGCTGCAGTTACACAGAATTAAGTAACAATCTCTCCAGGAAGCAATTTTTACCCTTAGAATTCTCAGCCCCTTGTATCTGAGTTCTATTAAATTCAACATTGGAAAAAAACAATGTCAAAAGTTTTCCATGGCACACATTCACAAAATTTCAAGACATATTTAACAATAATGTATCCTTTTTGGTGGCTGAGGCACTGACTTTTTTCTACTCCCTTTATAAAACATTCAAATACCTCTTCACCATCCATGCTTTAATTGCTTCTTCCTGAAACATGTGTATCACTATAGGCAAAGAATAAAGCTTCAGCTCGTCTTCCCAAAACAGATTTATATTATTTTTGGTGAATGTATGTCCCAACTGGAGTTTGTTTTCTAGCTGACTGATAACAGTGTAGTATCGAAGTGTACAAAGAGAAGTATAGTATTTAATCCTCTAACCCTAGCAAAATAATCTTTTAACACTGGCATCCTCTTTTCATACATCCTAAGTAAGGCTTCCCCAAACTACTTCAGCCCCAAAGTTTGCATGCTAGAAGCTACTTAAATAAAACAAAATTTCAACCTATTTTATGCATTTCCCTCCCAATTTCTTGAGATGTGTGCACTATATCTGTACATAGGCATTTGAATAACACAAATAATAAAACCTTGTTATATTTAAAATTTGGATTTTCTTCCATAAACAACAGGCTATTTTACACACTTTACATAGCAGTCATTCAGTCAATATTGAGTTTTCAAAACAACACTTACTCGTTGCTTCCCATTCAGATTTACTCAAGGTTCCCTAGAAGGGGAGAAAAAAAACAAAACCACAGTTTCAACAAAAAATGAGGAAACAATAAAACACTGATTTAACTCAGGATCATCAATCTTTCACAGACCAACATCTAATGACCCACACTGGCTGGCTATTTAGGGACTACAAGAGCATTACTGTAGACCACAGATACTTATAACTCCAATAACTACGACAGCAGGGAATTGGAACACCCCGGATAGCAGAACACACCTAAATTACACAGGTATAGGAGAATGGGCCAACAGTCTGTTGGGCTGGATGACTCTGCAATGCAGAGCATGCTGGGTCCATTACCCACACATCCATCAGTGTGTCTTGACCTGGCCCAAACTGCTCTCCAGCCCAAGATGCCCAACACTTGTGCAGAAGTCAAGAAGAGGCCCTGTATCATGGTGCTGCCATCTTCCCCAGGAATACTGCCTGCATCCACCTAACACCTCCTTGCAGCCTACAAAACCCCTATTTGCAAGAGAATAACTCCCAACCCCGCTCACACATTGTGAAAAACCAGCCTGCTCTGCAGCTTCAGAAACCTACTCCTAGCTCAGCCTTTCAGATGAAAGCAGGGCAAGTGCACAAATAAAAAGCTGCTACCATTTACCCTACCAATTAAGAAGCATGAGGTAACAACCAGAAGCTGATTTTCTGCTCTACCCACTCCATCACCTTGCACTGAGTCCTCACCCAGGGCCATGATTTAGCCCACATGCTACCCACTGATCAATCCTGACCAAATGATTCATCTTTTAAAACACTAGTGAAAAAAAGCTTGTTCAAGCAGATTTCTTGCCAGGTGACACAGCACCTGGCAAAAGAGGGTTTTGGTCTGACTTGACCATTCTCATGTTCTTAAGCTTATTTCGTAAAAGAAGCATTTTTCTTTTTAAAATTTTTAGATTTCAAATACAGAGAGCAGGTTTCTTTTCCCTCTTGATGTAGGATTTTTAGATATATAGTAAAAGGCATACATCTTCAAGAATTCAGAACATAAACAGTAGATAAACCAATGGTTAAAAAAAGAAAAATCCAAGTGGAAAAACTTCAAGCGGACCAACCTCATGCTATAGCTATGACAATGCAATAGGATGCCATCTATCAGTAACTGCATATGAATTTATTAAAACTACAATCTTTACTCAAACTAGTCTCCAATTTTGGTTCTGGCTTGTCAAAGAGCCTCAACACATTAAAAAAGACCTAAAGTTCAGACTGAAAGAGCCAGCATTGCTTATCAGGAACCATTCAGCATGAAATTAGGTTAAACCAAGCCTTTGCAAGGTTTCCATACAGCCTGACTCCCCGAATGCACAGACAGAAGGAAACACTCAGCTATATGCTACCCTGAATAGCTAGCCTAGCTACAGATGGAGAGGCAATAGCCAGATGGCAGTAGTTTCTGGGGAAAAATGACAGCAGACATTGCCTCTTCTCCTGCTCACTTCCCAGGAACAGCAGCTGTGCAGGCTCCTGTCCATCATGCACCCAACTCTGAGAACAATACAGAAGAATGAAAGGCTGGGAGAGGACTAGCTGCAGACAACTCCAACATTGTCATGTCCTGCTAGGACAATGGAAAAAAGAAAAACCCTTTATAAAAACATGAGAAAGACAGCAAGCTCAGAAAGTTAGCATATACATTAGAAGACAGGACTAGAAGCAGAAAAAACATATTTAATTGGACCACTGATCTAAAATCTCATATGACCTCCATTAAAGATGGTTCAGCATTCTTTTAATTCTGAAGTCATAAATCAAGCTGCCAAAACAGGAGAAATGCAAAAAATATTTGACAGGATAGCAGACTAAGTTTTGTACAAGGTAAGATTACGATCATCACAAAGAAACTTTCTTTTCATTCCAGAATGTGAACAGAATATCGTATTTAATAAAATTGAGGGCAGAAATATATGGATTTAGTTTTATGTACATAGGACTAGTTTAATCCTAAGAGCTCTGTTTAAAAAAAAAAAAAAAGGTACAGCACATTTTAAAAAATAGCATTTACAGAACTTCAATAAAATTGGCTGAGAAGGGAGCTGGATCTTCACCCAAAAAGACAACAGACAAACAGCGTTTAATATTTCAAATACATACAGCATTACAAAGAAAGTTTTCAACTCTCCTGTCAGAAGATTAAAAAAAGAAAACTAAAGCTTTAAATTGGTCGCGTGAAGATCCAGAAAAGTAAGAAAAATCCTCAAATTAAGAAGAGTGACATTAGAACAGCTGCCAAGGAAGATGGCAAAATATCCTTTCCCTTTTGCACAGTTACAAATTTCTTAATAGCTACCAAATGAAGTGAATTTGATTCTCTGAGTATGGGGTATAGATTAGATGAACTCCTTAGACCTGTAGCTCTATGATTTTTCACATGCACAGAGACATTCATACCAATTTCATTGCAGTTGAAATGAAGGCGGCACCACATGTCCAAAAAATCAGGACCTCAATTTTCAACACCATTTGCTCTAGTGAAGTAAGAAGGAACTTACCAATGGTAACTTTGCCTTGCCATCTTTGATGAACTCTTTTACATGCTCATAATCCTCAGGTTTATCAGAAACAAGCCTGGAATCACCAAATGTAGAATATGGCTGGAAAACATAGGAAAAATAAGAAAAAAAATATTAATTGTGTAGTAAGATACTTTAATCACATCAGTCAAGGGTTTGTCACGACATAGCCCAGAACAGAGGTCACTAGTTATTCAAAGGATCTTAAATTTAGATCTCTCCTTTATAGCACCTAGAAGATCAGGTCCAATATTCCCTACCTCCCAGAAAATCCGACACCCAGGATTTATAAATGCTCCTTATGTCTCCAAAACAGGGGAAACAGAATAATTATAAAAATAATCCTCCATGTACAGCTCATTATGGAGTATTACCTAGATACACCCTCTTTTAAAACAGCAACTGAACAAACCAGCATCTCTTAAGTAGGAGTACTAAGAAACGAGCAACTGTAAAATTTCAAGCAGAATGCTTAAAATGCTTTATTAACACACAGGAGCTGTAACAGAAGTATAGAACTAATTTTTCAAAACTAATACGTACTTCTTAAGGATCCCAGTTACTGCATAATGGTCTGTACCATGCAGTCCTCAATTGTAAGTGGCCACTAATTTAAGACAACTCTTTTTTCTAACAACGAAGCCAGTATGTCAAAGGCTGTGTCACCATGCTACTGGCGGTATTAAGCCCATACAAAGCACTGTCACTTTCAGAATCAACAAGGACAGTCAAGTCCACTTGCAGCCCATGTGACTCAGTTTAGTAAGTGACCAGATATTTGACGTGACAGTTTTATGCTGAAAAATTCTACTGTTTGAGGGAAGAAGGAAGCAGAGAGAACTGCGAGTAAAGCCAAAGCCTCAGAAATGGTATTGAAAAGCTTCTCTGAAGCTGCCAAAGTCATCCAGGTTAAGAGCTTGAGGATAAAAAAAAGCAAAAACATTGGGCAAAAACATAAACTCAATACAGTCAAATACCATTTTCTTCTACAAACACAGCCTGTTCCTTTATTCCTACAAAGATCACTTTCTCTCTTTTCAGTTGATATTCCTTGCACAAAGATCCAGCTTTCAGTCTCTCTCCACTGAAGAAGAAATGGGTTATGGTTACCACTATGTGACACCAGGCATGATTCTTGTGCTTCACTTACTACTTAATAAAAATGAAAACTTGCCTCAAAATTGAAATTTTATCTACAAAACTGAATGACTCTATTGGGTGCTCGTGCCCAGGTGATGGCAGCAGCAGGTGGCAGAGGTGGCCTCTGTGAGGAGAGGCCAGGGCTGTCCCATGCTGGACACAGCCGGTTCCACTAGCTCCAACACTAACAGAGCCACTACACAGCACAGCTGAGCTCCTCAGCCACGAGTGGGGCACCTCTGGGAAAGCATATCTAAGAAAGTGCAAAAAAACCTGCACAACAGCTGTGAAAGAGGAGCAAGGAAAAATGTGAAACTACTCTACAGACACCAAGGCCAGAGAAGAACGAAGGTGAGGAAGCACTCCAAGCACCAGAAAAGACACTCCCCTGCAGCCCCTGGAGAAAACCGTGGTGAGGCAGGTTGTCCCCCTGCAGGCCATGGAGGGCCACAGTGGAGCAGATATCCACCTGCAGCCTGTGGAAGACCCCATGCCACAGCAGGTAGACATGCCCTGAAGGAAGCTGCAGCCTGTGGAGACCCAACACAGAATCAGGCTCCTGGCAGGAGCTATGGCCCATGGAGAGGAGCCCAATCAGGAGCAGGTTTTCTGGCCAGAGCTGCAACCCTGTGAAGAACCAACCCATGCTGGAGCAGTCTGTGCCTGAAGGACTGTACCCCATGGACAGAATGCACACTGGAGCAGTTTGTGAAGGACTGTATCATACCGTTGGAGGGACCCATCCTGGAGCAGGGGAAAAGTGTGAGGAGGAAGGAAAGGCAGAGACCATGTGTTATGGACTGACCACAACCCCCATTCCCTGTCCCCTGGCGCTGTGGGGCAAGGAGAGGAGGTAGAAAGTTCAGGACTGAAGGAGTGAAGTTGAGCCTGGGAACAAGCAGTGGGTGGGGCAAAGGTGTTTTTAGGTTTGCCTTTGTTTCTCACCACCCTACTCTCTTTTTTTTTTTTTTTTGTAATAAATTAAAATAATCTTCTCCAAGTTTAGTCTGTTTTGGCCGTAATGGTAACTGCTAAGCAATCTCCCTGTCTTTATGTTGACCCATAAGTTTTTTTTCTTATTTTCTCCCCCCATCCTTTCGGGAAGAAGGAATGAGAGAGCAGGTTGGTGGGTGTCTGGCAGCCAGTCAAGGTCAACCCACCACAGTCGCACTTTCAGCCACAGGAGTTTAGTTCTTCTCTTGGTAGCCTTTAATTAGTTGTACCATGTTCACAACAGGAATTTCAATTATTGCACAAATAATTAACAATATGTAAAACACTATTTAAATGAAACAACTCCGTATTTACCTCCAAGGCCTGCATTCTCCTTAGCAGCATTTTATGCTCCTCGTTCTTGACTTTTTCTTCATAGAATTCCCGAAATGTCATTTTGTAGACTAATTTCATACCATGCTTCTTTGCCATTCTGTCAAAGTAATACGCTTAATTAGGGAAGCCACAAAATTATTGTAGTTTTATTTTCAAAGGAACAATTTTAAGCCACAGTGACATCTTACGGTATGCACTAGGATTACACTCTTTCTACAATTCATTTTTTTAGTACAGACATTTAGATGAAAAAATGCACTACCACAACAAACAGTACTTTTTTTAATTAGGACAACAAAAATCTACACAGAAGAAAGTTACAAACATTTTAATAGAAAAACACCTCTTCTCCCAACACACAGAAGTAAGTTCCATTTGAACTAGCAGATAGACTATGCTGTCTTCCCTGCAGTATAAATACCCTGTCACATCGGATATTATGGATATATTCAGAGAACCTCTTTGTACTAGATTTAGTGCCTTATTTCTCAATTATATGTAGTCACTGTGGTCATCCAATACTGAAGTTACAGGTGTCAGTGATAGATGCTGGTATTTTTCATAGAGAACTACAAATGAAGTGTGTGAAATTACACAGATTTGAAGGGAAAGCTTAATATTGTTTAACAACCATACTGAGCTTGAATGGCAGGAAAAACCCCAACATGGAAACATTCGTCTGTACCTCAGGAGACAGGCTGGGAAAGGCAAATCTGCAATCACACAGAGGTAACAGCAAAATGTATGCTCACAGATTAAGATTTAGAGGAAGAAAAGTAAGTCATAGGAAAAATCCTATGAACATCCAAAGGAAGTTGAAGACAAGTAAGATGCACCATGATGAAGAAGATATACAAGAAGGCTTGCTGAAGGACTAAAAAAAGGTAGAATGAAACCCCCAAAAAAGTTAAGATTAAAGAAGAAAAAGTTGACAGCACTAAAGGTTTGCTGACAGATCCAACATATCAGATAAAGACATTCTTGTGTGAGACCCAGTTTAAGTCTTCACAGCTTCTGACCAGAGGACCTTCAACTGAGTGTAATGAACAGATTACAGTTGTGGATGGAAATGCAAGAAACCTCTGCATTTGGAGCAACAACAAAAAACGAAGAACTAAAAAACATAATTAGAAACTCAAAATATAATTTTCTGCAAGTATTATGCAATGATACACAAACTAAACAAATGCTTATTGTGTTCCACAGCTTTCATTGTGTAATTAATTCAAAATTTAACTTACTCTTCCAGTAATGGAAAGTAAACCAAGAACTCGGGGACGTCAACCACTTCTTCCAAGTGGAAATCATACTTGCAGCCAAACAAGGGATATTCGCCCTTCTTTCCAAATTTTACACTGTACACCTCATTCCCAAATGAATTTGTTTCTGAAGCTTCAAGTCGCTTTCTATAAAATGAGATATAAACAAACATTAGTGGACCAATTTTTAATTTAACAGGCCAAGAAAACTACGCATAAGAGGCCTGAAAGTGTTTATCCCAGCACTACACCGTTCAGTGACCTCTGTAGTTTCCCACCTCCCATTGCCTAATAAGGCAATGAAACAATGAAATGAAGACAAGCAGCATATTAGGTTTTAACAGTTTATCATTCCTATACAACATACCAAGGACTAAATGAACCTAGAAAATTAACCTTTAGCCCAGACACACTCTACATGGACAAGTCAGGCTTACTTGGAACAACCACAGCAGAACCCTGACAGTTATTCCCCAGGTTGTGGCTATTTTACCACTACTGAAGTCGCTACAGAGGGTTTATGTATAAAGAACTATACTCTATACCAGAAGAGACGTGTCTGCAAAAGACAAGGATTAGTACAGATTTACCTGTTTGAGTCAAGTTCATGAGTGAGATTTTCATGACTAGAATTCAAAACTGTTACAAAAAAACCTTGCTGTTGTTTGCACAAACATATCAGAGTGCTGCAAGAACAACTATCATGTAACAATGCTTCAAAGACTTTTGAAAGCTTAATAGAATATAAAAGTACTTACACAAGTTCAAAGCTATTTGGAGTTGTGCCAATGAAATATCCTCCAGGAGAGAGGTTCCCACAAGCATTTTTAAGCATCATGTCAGCCTGCTCATACGTCTCAAATGAGTAATGATAAACAAATTGACAGCTGCAAATGTCAAAGCGCATATCTGGATCACTGTATTTGGAAGACAAGAGATCCTGAAAAAGATTAAAAAGAAAAAACAATTGTAACAAAAGCTACAGAAACAAGCATGATTCACTGAAATCTTTTAACAAATACACTACTCCCATAATTCTTTGAAGTTTCTCCTTTCAGACCCCATTCCTTCACAAGTTCAACAAGAACAAAATGAAAAAGGTAAGAGTAAGAAGAAGTCCTCTGCTACACAGAAAACCACACACAACATTTGGGAACACCACCACACACACACACACACTTCAAAGTTACCATGTCCTCAAATGCTTTTTGTGTTGTCAAGTAACACCACTACACCTGAAAGGCCAAAACCCAAGGTTAGTTACCTAATAGTTTCCAGAGATATTTTACTGCTGAGGGTTTATAACTGGCCAGCGTTTAGCTGGAAACAATTATTATAATAAAATAAATTTTCAGTTTACGAAGTCTCTGTTATGAGAACTGGCCATTAAACATATAACTGAGAAGAGGGGTTGTTTTAAATACGGCAATTTGCACTGCCCCAAGTTGTATTTGCCGTATTATCACACATGGACATACATGCGTACCAACATACTCATCCCCACCCCAGACCAAGTAACCAGTAACTCTGAAGAACTTGAAGCCCTTGAAATCTGTCAGGTTAAAGCTTGCCATAGTTTGACTCTGTACTCAGCAGTTCTCTGACTCTTCTTGATCAGGCTTCTTTTATACAATGCTAGTAGCCACCATAACTAACACAGAAGCACAAAAGTTCTACCCAAGGCCCTATGCGTTCTGTACTTAAAATATTTCATACTTAACAGTTCTACCCAAGTTTCTCTTCTATCCCAGACTTCCCCATCACCCATCCACTCCCAGACTCTACCAGTTAATGCCATATACTGTCAATGTTCTGTATGTGGCAAGACAAAAATGGACACTTCACAGACCCATAGCAATTTTACCTGTTCATTTACTCCCTCTCCACATTGTGAGAGAGAGATAGATACAGGAAACTGAGAAACAGAGGTAGATGGAATTAGACAAGCTGTGAGAATGAGATTTTGTATATATAGAACATAGATGATAGAGATAGAAAGTCGGGGAGATGAAATTCTGTGTGCGTGAACAGACAGAACAGAGCGTGCAACAGAAAACATACATGCATATAAGTCTGAGTTGTAACAGTAACATGAAAATATCCCTTTCTTTCCTGGCCAAGACTCTCTCCTCTCTCCCCTGACTGTAATTTTGAGCAGAGAGAGATGACCTGGAACCTGCAACAGACTGTATTCCTCAGAAGAAGGAGAGGCAACCAAGAAATCAAGCAAACAACCCTTCCTGCAAGGCTGGGAAGAACAGGTTCAGCCTTTCCACAGATATGCTGGAACCAAGTAAGCTCTGTCCCTCAGCCTGCATCAGCAGGGCACACTCAGCCTACATTTCTAGGAAGCAAAAGCACTGCTGGTTACAAGACTGTCTCCTAAGCCGCAGCAATGTATTCACTATTGCCTCCAGACAGTCTTAAGAAATCTGCTCTATCACACAAGTTTTGAAGATATGTATTATAGTAATTAAAATGCTGCTAGAAAAAAAATAATTAGATAAGCTGAATGTACAAGTCAAATCAGAAAACATCCCTTACTCATTCCAGCATAAAAACACATTCACCAAGACGGTTTCCAACATCCCATGCTGGCTCCTAGAACTCCAGAGGTAAGTAACCACTCCCTTCCCCTTGTGAAGTGAAAGAAACTGAAAGCACCAGATTTTTTATCTGAAGACGACATTCAGGCTTCAAGAATGTTACACTGTAAACCAGTAACAAAACGCATTTAACTACATCTTACACAACTTTTCAGCATGGCTGACTCTCCCGATAGTACAACAATCTGATCTTAAAAATATACATGCCCAAAATATTACAGCACTACCATCACTCCTATACTTGCTTAACAAAAGAATGTTAAATCCCCAAAATATTACAAAGCAGACGAACTGTACCTTGGTACTATCTGCTTGTATAAATTCTGCATCAAAAATACGTTCGTTATAACGACATCGGGCTTTCATGTCTTCATATCGCTGTTTGCATTGTTGCACAGAAATATCAGCAATATCTATATATGGAGGGAGAAATTTAAAAAAAAGTGAGTAAACTCCTACCCAGACAAGAAAATTGGAATCATTACCAGAACACAGCAGATCCATTATGGCAGGGATAAAAGATCTTCAGTTACATTTTGAGGGGAACAAAAACTTTTATTTCCAAGTTGTAGAAAAGGAATTTAATTTGCAGGAAGTGTTCAGGATTATAACTCTTTGTCATTTTCAGTCTTTACTTCAAGACAAAAGTTGTAATCTGAAGATTTTAGAAAGCTCCCATCCTCAAAAGTGCAAAGCAAGCCTCCAAAATTTCAAGTGATGGATACCAGGTGATTGATACTAAATGCTGTCAGCGTTAAGTGCCTAGCTATGCATTAGCTACAACAGTTCAGCTCCCAGGGTTTCTCAAACAATACTGAAAGCTCTTCATCTTATTACAAATATACAAGATGTTGAAATGCAGTTATTTCTGATATATACTGATATATTCTATCATGGAATTTTTTTTTTCATTTTCTTTTTAAGACTGTTCCTCTCTCAGGCATCAAGTTTCACTGAATAACAACAGTTTGCACAAATTTAAAAACTAACAATATGCAATAAATTTACATAAGGACTTTGTAAGCAAATTAGTTAACTGTATTTGAAGACTGCCAACTGAAAAGCAAAAAAGAACTGTAAAATGTAGAATACCCAGCATAACTGCCACTAAAGGAATTTTATGAAATTTTAGTATCTAATTAAATTTGAAGTTGAGTAATACTTCCTCTGATTATCTTTGGGATGCTTTCTGGGAAAAGGGAAGATGGTATCTGCCTCCCAACATCTAAGCAAACTATTTAAATGATTTTTTTAATCAGCTTTCAGCTCTTCCCCTTTCTGAGTCTGAAAATCTTTAGTTGATTGTAACACCCAAGACCATTTTTTGTCACAACACTGTAGGGTTTATTTGTTTTTTAAATGCAACTCTTCTCTGTGTGTTTTCAGAACAGTTAAAAACACCACAGGAGACTAGATGTGGGAGAAAACATACTAAAAAAAAAAGTCAGTCTTTTTCCCAGTGCTATATTTTGCCTAAGACAATCTGTGGCAATTGTATGCTTCTTTATTGATACCAGATTTTATTTGTGAGTTGAACTGAAAGATAATTACACAGAAAATTAATGGTTCTTATATTTATGCTGGCAATCAAGCTGATGTCTTCAGGTTAAAAGACAAAATAAGACTTTTTGACAGAAGGTCTATCATTGCATTCTTGGGCTTATAAAAAAAAGGAAATAATGGAAGACTGGAGATGTGCTTGGTTTTCCCATAAAACACTGATGTACTCTCCCTGGAAAGTTATTGAGTCTTCTTACCAGTACAGACAAGTTTTTTAATTCTGCCTTTTTTCCATTTCAGTAAGTCTCCACCTTTGCCACATCCTAGATCCAAAACAGTTATATCATTCTTTTTCCGTCGTACTCGGTCTATGAATTCACCTAGAAAAGTAAAAAGAGAGAATGCATACACAGGTCTCTTAATTCACTTGTTTTGTACAGAGAGGCTTAAAGGACCAAAAGGGTTTGAGAATGTTAAAACACCTTAGAACTTTGCCTATAAGTCTTCTTAACATTACAGACTTAAATGTCTTTTTCTAGAAACCACTAATGACAAAAGGAACCACAAACTTTTAATACTATGGAGAAGATAATACATATTCTATATGCTTAACGTGCTTTGCATGTAATGTGACTGAAGCTCTGAATTGTTTCCCCAGCAGACAAAGGCAAAACCGCGCATCGGTGCGTGAGTAGGGAAACAGAGTTCCCTTTCATTACCATTATAATGAAGACAGATGTTACTTGGAAGTATGGGAAAGCTTTTTGCAGAAGAGTACAAGCCAATTAAATGCATTACCGACAATGTTTCCTTGTATAACGTTTTCCACTTACTTTCCTAGGCCTTGCAATAACATTAGCTACTTGTTTGCTGTCTTTTTACCCTACATAAATCATTTCACTTCCTCTTCTATCTCCACTCTGTCTAGATTATCTCTGCTCTGACTGATGTTGGCATATAATGCAAAACATATCAGCATGTTAGCTGATATGGAATCATTGGAACAGTAATCAGTAATCTTACTTCTCTTCACAGTAAGAGACACGAAATATGTTTTGATATAACTGCTGTGAAGCCACACTACTTAAATTCATCATGACTGAAAGGCTTCAACACAGGCTTCAGGAACGGCTTTATATAAACTTAAGTATTGCTTCTAACTGCTCTGATACAACACAACAAAAAGCAGCATGCTAAGACAAATGGTGCCAACATCTCCTGGCATAGATCCCTCTTCATGAATCTGTGGTGCTGCGCCGATAATTCTTTTCTTTGTTTGCAGATATCTGATGGTTTTGTTTCCTCACTTTGGAATTAATTTGTGGGACGGCAGACTGATTTTTATGAAAAGCTGCTGATTCTTAAAGAACTACCTCCTCTAGTTTTTCATCTTTTAAACAGTTGAATGTGGTCATACAGAAAATATTTATGTGTTCCAAGTCTCCTGCAGAATTGCTTAATCGAGACCTGAGGACAAACTGCTTTGGGAAAATGGTTAAGAAATTATTTCAGATGTTATTTAAATAACAAGAACAGCTCAATCTAACAAGAACAGGTAAGATTCTTTATGATTTAAAGCTGTACCTTTCCATTTAAAAATGTTACAAAGAAGAACAGTTTCCAGCATGAACTTTTTCCAGTTTTCAGGTCAGTTGATCTTTAAAACTTTAGCATACATTTGGCACTCCAACAATATAAAACACTATCACAGAAATTCAAAATAAAAATAGGGGTTTTATTGCACTTGAAAATCTTACTATGTATTAAGAGACAAAGTGTCATAATCAACATCAGAAAGCAGGAAAAAAAGTTACATTTTGATTAAAAAATTAGTTACATTTTATTAAAGTCTAAGCGATCAGTTAAGGAAGCTTACCAATGAGGACGCTCTTTGTCCAATTATTAAAGTTTCGGAGGTAGAATATGCGAGACTGGCTACGTTTTTCCAATCCAACTTCTTGAAGTTCATTATAATGTGCAGCTACAGCTTGCCCATGGCCTATCTCACGCTGTAGAAATGAGGGAAGGAATAGATTCAAGCAGTGAATTCTTTTTACTACTTTTTAATTTAATCAAAAGACATGAGTTCACTTTAAGGATTTAAGAAAGTAAACAAGTAATACTATGAAAAGCATCATCATTACATATATCAAAACATTTCCCGTATCTGTCCTGGTACTGATGTCAGCACTTCAATTATCACAGACAACTCCCTTAAAAATTTAATCCCCTTTTCAGTTGGTCCAGGTAATTTCTGATGGACGATGCCCAGCATCTTTCCTTCATAGAAATACTTAACTTTCAGTTCTCTAATACTCTCACCACTCTCAAAGAATCAGTTTCATTCCCCTTAAGCCTGGGATTGAAGAAGAGGATGTTCCTTCTCAAGGAACTTTAAGCTTCTTCAAAAATCCTGTTTCAGAAATTCCGTGTCTACACCTAACATAAGTGTATAAACTGCCAATTTAATCAAAATGCCAACTAGCTGATGTCGCATAAAGCCCTAAGTGGATGATCCCACTGCCACAGCTTTAAATAGACCATGGTAAGGGAATAAGAGTAATGAACTGACAACATATCCCATTTAATGCTTAACAGTTCACTGTAGAAGTATCTCCAGTTTAGTCTTAACTGCAAATACTCCAAGAAGTTTCTGTCCCATGTGACACAGAGAAGCAGTCTACATCCAGATATTGTGCTCCTAACATTTCTTCATCTTGAAAATAATCTTCAATTACATACATGAAATTAATATAAATTATAAATAAAATACAAAGCAGCAGAACATGGAGAACCAACACAAATTCTGTAAGGCACAAAAGCATTTAAAGTAACAGTACAAACTAATGACAATGAAGGATTCTCAGTTAAAACCCACAAACATGCTACAAAGCCCCAGCCAGTACAAATTCACACAGCAATTAGAAGCATTCCCAACAGTTGACTACAAAAGTCGACATCCCAATATCTTATTATTCAAATAGCAGTTCCTCAAGGGAAAAGAAGGTTTGACTGACTTTCATGTACTACATGAATTCTTCAGTATTTCATATAATTTTGGTAACCTTCAGAATGAACACAGACATACTTGTCTGGAATCTGTATGACCCTATCATCTGTTTATTACCACACTCAGCTAATTGATACTAACAAATATTTTGACCATTTCTAGTCTTTTTTAGGGTAAGCACAGATGGCTCCCTGAACAGCCACTGATGGTGACATAAGCTAGAACAGCTGACTCTGACAAGTGTCGGGGACGTATTCATACAATCCATTAACACATCTCAGCTGCTGCACGCACAGTTGCAAACAGCCATCAGCAGTAACATCTAGATGCTGGCAGCCATGTTCAATGCAGTTACCTCTCTACACCCTTAAGCCACACAAAACCAATGTGTTTCTTGTCCACCTAAACCTTATCCCAGAACTACCTTATTTAAAAGATGAAAGGGTTAATAATGTTTCTACCACAACAAAGGGCACCCTTTATTTTATGAGATTGCTTAGCCATAAATTAACTTCCCAGAAAATTTCTGAACAGAGAAACCAAACATTAGGTCAAAGACATTTTCAAATTATATTTAAATATCCCAAAAGGTCAAAGTTAGACTAGATATTACAGCATCAGTTTCTACAAGCTTATACATATTAAAGGACACTGTCATATAAAACATTATCCTTTTCACCCTCCCAGTTAAAAGGACAAATATTTTCTGCTACTCTTGCAGTCTTAAAAAAAAAAAAAAGCATCTGTAAACCTTTCAGTACTTCACTTTACTAACAAATCATACTGAAATTATATCACAGAGGATGCAGTTTGTAGAGTTTTCTAAATTATACATTACACTGTTGAGGAAATTAAAGGACAAAATTATCTTACGGAAGAACCTCCCAGCCACAGATAACTATACTAATACAGGGGACAACAACGTACAAAACGTGAATTCAGGATATGGGACCTGGACTAATGCCAGTAAACCCTACTCTACACTACCAGATTGCTACCACACAGACAATGGAACGATAGCCTTAGAATTAGACTAAGCATGTGCTGAGATCAGTTTTCTTAACATTCTACTTACCAGCCCTCTTTCTCTCCCGTTATGCCCAACATAACTTCTGCACCAGTTATTTTGCTAGGAAGCTACCCACAAACTTTGACATTTGGTGTTTCATGCTGGTTCACATATGTTTAGCATAAATATTTTCAATCTTTTCTTGAGCTAAGGCTTTGAAACAAGGACATGAACATAGCTCAAAATAAAATGATACTCACTACTTTCTTAGGAGGTTCATCTTCAGGATCTAAATTCTTCCTTTTTGCTCTGCCGTCCTGATTACCACTATCAACTTCTTTTTCACTTTCAGTGGAGTGCACTGTGCCTGAAGTTGAACTGTCGCCTTGCCAACCAATACCTGACTCTGCCTCTAAAGTACAAGGTGTTTTCTCCACTTCTTCATCCAAACTCTTTTCTACTTCCTGTTCTTCTGTCTTGGTTAAATCAGCCATTTTTGACAGGTTAGTCTCCTTGTCCATTGATCAGAATGGAAATCTATATGGGGGGGAAAAAAAACCAAACCAAAAACCACCAACTACTTTCAGTGTTGAATTTCACTTACTCGCAGCTACGGTCATGACTTTCAATCATAATACTGGCATTATAAAAAAAATAACATGCCTTTGCTGTAACCAACATACAGGCTCCAAATTTGACTAGTTGTTTAATAAAGATAGCACAATAAAATACGTGGAATTTAAAAGTACGCTCATTATACTAAAATCAAATGAAGATAAATCTTTACTCTTCATGTTTGAGTCTCCTAGCTATCTTTATTGATTCAACTGCAATGCGTTATTGTTTTTGAGCCTGTCATCTCCCTTTTCCCCTCCCCATAAAAAGTAACCTACAAATCACTTTATGTTGAGAAACACAAGCTGACAGCCCCTCAAATCAGTAAATTCATTATTTAATCTGATGTGCTTTCAGGTGGATGTCCTCAAACAAAAAAAAAAGGTGGTTTTTAAGAGCAAATTTTTGTATCGGTTGTGGATTTTCAAGTTTGCCAAGAGTATCCACTATGCCTCAAGCTTCACTAACGCTAGGAATCTTCAGCTGTAACTGCATTTCCTTATCTCCACTACGCAGTCTGGAGGACTGCAGGCCACTGCTAGAAAGCTCGTCTAGTCTCCAGCACTCCCCAGCCTTCTTTCCACCATGGGCAGGAAGACGGGCACCTCCTTTTTGATTTGACATGGCAGAGGATAAGTTGGCAACTCCTCTTCTAAAACAACGGCCTATTTCAGTCTAACTAAAGCCAGGCACGCTCCCCCGAACGGAGGCTGAGGTCTCCTAACGAGGCCCAAAAGACGTTCTTTAGGCGGACCACTGTACGGAGGCCCCAGGACAGCCTTCCTCAAAACAGGGAGCCTTGAAGCCCGACTGACGGAAAGCATTCTGCAGCATCGAGCGTGCCCTGCCTTATCCTCGCCCGGCTCTTCCAAGCGGTTTACCAGGTGCTTTTAAGGGCCTCAGTTGAGAAACGATCAGAATTTCGTCACCGGGGACGGCGACCAAGTGCCCAGGGGGGCAGCCCCTTCACTGGAGAAGGCCGGAGAGAGCAAAACGCCCGGAGAGCGGGGGAGGGGGCGGCGCTGGCGGCCCGCGAAGCCAGGCGGCCCGCTGACGGCCAAGGCCCTGAAGACTTTCAGCTGCGTCACGGGGGCCCGCGCAGCCGGGACGGGCGCTCCGGCGGGGCTGCTCCCCGGGG